TCCCTGAAGGTGTTTACCCATGAAACAATCGACTGCCGGCCAGGAACACGACCAGGGGGGGTAAATATTGAAATGTCTACGGAATGCACGTTGCGTTGCGACGATTGAGCGACCGCTTGAAAAAAATGCCTCAACAGCGAAAGCGCGTTCCAACTTCGTCCACTCCATGATGCTCACTGGGGTTCCTGAAAAAAAAAAAAAAAAAAATAACGCACGTTAAGAACCAAACTTTAAGCCCCACCCTCTCAAATAAGTCCATCCCTACCATCCTTGGAGCAACCATCGCTTTAGTGCGCCAAATTTAAATAAGCAAGTTGCTCTCCCACCCTGTATTATTGAAATGGCTAGATATAACTAAAAGCTTTATGCTGTTTCCTCACTTGCATTTATCGCTTGCAGAACATTTTTCAAACGCTTCTTTATCAACATTAATCTTTAAAAAAATTTATACAATTTCAATCGATGTCACTTATCTTTTTAATTCCTCTTCCTGTATTAGTCTTTATCCACAATAATAGCTTTCTTTTTGTCTTTGCGTCTTAGAGATTTCATTGACACGCCTGGGGATAAATAAATGTTGCAATGTCGAACATGTATAAATATATTTTTAGATAATACAAGATTATTGTAATCATTTTACAGATTTGAAATCTGTCGTTATTTAGAGCATTTTCTTTATATAAAGTATTAATATTAATTTAATAAAACGAAGATGTGTTTTCTCACCGGCCTTCTTCAGTCTTTACAGTGCAGCGAACCTGAGACAATCAGTAGTCTTACAAGGATTCTTTATTGCAACAACAATCTTAACGATATAAGATATACAGAGGACACAGATTTTACGGGTTATCAACCTTTTTCAGGCTATTTTAAGCCACAAATATTTTTGCATTGTAAGAATGTTCTGAAGATAATAATGATACAAGACTTATTAATTAAACGATAGCTGGTTAGATGAAGTGGATTCATACCTATTCTAAGGGTATTTGCGACACGACAAGAAATGGAACTCGGCTCTTCGAATTTCAATTTACAGATGTTAACCATTACACCACATCCAAGGATACAACAATGGTATTCCCCAGTGGTCACCTATATAGGTACTTATCAGGCACGGCAATCAAATTACGTGAAGACGAGATGCCACATTAGGACCAAGAGTATAGCTTATTGATCACTGGATTTTATCAAGAATCTCTTAATGTATATCGTCAGCAATATACCATATATGGCAACCATATTCAGGCCATGGACGAATAGTAGACTTAAGATACGGTCTGGAGAGAAAACATAGTCGACCACATAAACTGAACCAAGAAGAGCAATGGATTTCCTGTCAGCCGATAATATTACCTCGAGAAGACGCTTCTAGGTATTAATCAGGCTCGATGGCCGTACGAAAGCTGGTGTTTTAACATGATATATCCGTAAGCCTAAAAGACAGAGAAATTAAAATTATGAAGAATGTGATAAAAGAAAGGAAGACGAAGCGATAAAATATTGAATTTAAGAAGAGACAATGTATTTATGACAGAAAAAAAAATAGCATTACAAGATGCTGTGGACTCTTCGACAACAACCTAGTTAATCCCTGCTAGGAAATGCACTATTCCTTTTTTCACCATCACAATCTAGCAAAATATATAACAAGTTTTCATTGGTCAATCACCTTCAATCTAGCTTGCTGATTGGTCAGTTCCGACCAATCAAACCGCCTGCACGCGACCAATCTGTTTTCCCCCTCATATGGTGGGATCCTATCACGTGGTACATGACCATTATATAAACCCAACACGTGTAAACTCCCTTGAGTTTTCTTTCTATTCATCTCTCTCTCGCACGTCTCATTCCTTGCTGCCAAGTGACAAGATGTAATCTTCAAGAACTCCCGTCTTAGCGATTGCGATCAGACGTTAAAGACTATTACCAACATTCACGCAAGTACGAACTCTGAAATCTCTTCAGAACTTTTACCAACTTTACAAATTTCCAAACTTTATTCTTCTAAATTACAGTTTAATATTACTGCCTTTTAATATGAACTCCGGTACAACAATTACCTCATCAAAGTGACACAACTCTGTCCTACCTTTTCAGTTCGAATGCATGTATATCAAACATTAATAAATTCAATTGTTATGTTTTTAAATCATTCCGTTCAGTTTTGTATTTTATACTATGTGCTATTTACGTCAAATATAAATTGCATTTCGTCCACGCATTGTCCTTAATCTCAACTTTCTTAGCCAAAGTTAAATATTGATAACTCAACCACTACAATAATGGCAACCCCGACGTTCGTCGTTCGACGTTCACAACAACAATGGTAACACCACATCGCTACAATGCGAACGATGTCTTCACGGATATAAGCAAAGCGTTAAAAGGGAAAGTGTGTCAGAAACAAAGTTTGGGATTTAATATTATGTTAATAGCGAAAGATTTCATTCTGAAAGTTGAGCAAAGTATTAAGAAAACAAAACAAACATAGAAAAACAAAGAAAAAGCAGTATGAAATGTTATGTAATATCTGTCCCCCTATGTGACAGTGAATGGTGGCCAATCTCCTCAAAGGAGATGCAGAGACAGGAGACACCAGATATGTGCTTCTACAGAGGGTCGCTGGGAATACCATGTACAAGTCATATGAGTAAAGGGGTATTTTTAAGAAATAAAATTAAAAGGGACAAACTGGGAAACGGGAAGTGTCAAAGGAAATTTCGCGGGCACGTAATGAGGAGAGAGAACCAGGAAATGTTTATACTAAAGGCAAGATGTACAGAGGCAAGCAGTGACGAACTTACCGAAATGAGCTCGTGTATATTGTTGGAAGAAGAGGGATAGAAAAAAGAAAAAACCTATAAAATTCAAAATCCAGGCAAAGCATTACATTCACTTACGTGCTAATACCCTTGGGAAAGGAATGAATCCTCTTTTAAGCTCAGCCATGATAAATAGCAGGACAGACCGAGTTTTATAGCTTTGGATGGCAACTGGTCTACCGTAGAAAGAAATGACAATCTACTGCGGAAAAAAAATAAATCTACATCATCAGTCATGTATGAAAGGAGTCATAATCGCCTATGCGTGTATCACGCATGGCTGATAACTGACTGATTAAAATCATGTTTTTCTAGGCAGGAATGGTGTTCCATAGGTAATAATTTTCCGTAAGGCGTCGATTTAATCCGATTCCGATAATTATAAATTCTTTTGGGAAAGGGCCATTCAAATTTCCTCACATATTGCTTCTGACATAGAATGCATTGTAATAATTAATATATATATATATATATATATATATAACGTCATCCAAAGACAGACTGTTTCACAGCTCATCAGGGTGGCTAGCTAGGATCGAAACCCGACTGAATTAGTGTCAGTCGGAGATTCTAACCATTAAGCCGGGAGGAAAGTGAATTTTTTAGCGTATTTATTTTTAGAAAAAAGGCCAGTGGCCGACAGTGACTAAAAAGTAGGCAATCCGTATGGGTAGACCCAAGGAGGATAAAATCCAGAGAGCTCAATGTAAATCCAGAGCAAATAATTTAAATAAAAAAAGACCACGTTAAGGCTCCATGTAATAAATTATTTCACCACAGCCCTTTTAAAGGACTGCGGATCATCAAACTTTACTTCCAAACAAAAAATGAAAAGAAAATTTACTATTAAACATATGTAAATTAATGATAATTTACATATGTTTAATATATATATATATATATATATATATATATATATATATAGTGAGGATTTTTGTGTGTGTGCGTGTGCGTGTGTGTGTCTGTGTGTGTGTGTGTTTGACTAGTTGTCACTATTTATTTGGTGGTTGTCCGCATGTTGAATCTGGGACGGTTTCACGTAAACACCGCTTGTGAGAGATAAAATTTCTTTCACATTCTCTGAGCGAGCTTTAATAAAATTGAATAACAGAGAGAGAGAGTGAGAGAGAGAGGGAGAGAGAGGGAGAGAGGGGGGAAGTGGATAGATATAAACTGGAACAGATTCATAGATACTAAAAAAGAAATGTGGGATTGGTACATAAAATGAATTGAGTAAAAGAGATTGATTGAAAATAATTGTGATCAATTATAGAAAGGAAAGGCGGCGGTATAAACTTGTAAACTGACTGAAGTAATTGTAACAGACTTGAGATAGGTAGATAAACGTGAACTCATCAATAGCGATAGGAACAAGTTTATATATATATATATATATATATATATATATATATGTTAAGGCAAAAACACAAAAATTACCTCAGTGTAGAGGATAGTTGGAGCCGTTCTTAGGGGCTGATTGAAATAGACTATCCTCAATGTTGAGGTAATTTTTGTTTTCTTCCTCTGAAAAATACATATGCTCTGTCATAATAAATACATCGAGATCTCTGTGAATCAGTTTTAATAATTAATGTTACTAGGATCCACGCGGATTATATAGCAACGGATCGATTACCTGTTCTATATATATATATATATATATATATATATATATATATATATATATATATATATATATATATATGTTATAAAATCACTACAATATTTAAAATTTTGTTTCTACACTTCTGGTGTCATGTCAAGTGAACATATATATATATATATATATATATATATATATATATATATATAGTTAGACAGATAGATATGTAAGAACTGATATATATATATATATATATATATATATATAGATAGATAGATAGATACATAGATAGATATGAATATAAATATACTCACAATATTCTGAACATTGACGCTCTTCTGCAAACACGAGGAACACACGAACAAGTTAATGGCGACTAGCAAGAAAGCAAGAGTAAATGACTATGTTCGCTATTGATTAATAATAATCGAACGAGACTGACTGGGCGAGAGATTGGGCAAGAGGTATGGTGTGTAGGCTGCAGCAAAGAAAAGAGAATGAAGTGAAAAAGTGGCGTCAATACGAGTTGGCAAGGAAAATTACGGCTGCTACCCTGAATGATTTCACCTCTGCGAATGAGTGTCACATTGGGAAGCGGGTGGATGCCTAATTGTATGCTTCCTACTTTGCCGATTCATTTACACTTTTGCCTTCCCTGTAATTGCTGTAAACGTTTCGCCTTTTTGGATCCGGTGAAAATTTGCTGATTATTTCCTGTCCCTGTCGACCCATTCCATTTTTTTTTCTTTTATCGGTAAGTTGACCTCCAGGACCAAAAGGCGTATGCGCCATTATGCCTCCTAGTCAATTACGTGTTGTTTTTATGTTTTCTCTTTCTTGATCATTCTATTTCTCGTTGCTTCATTATAGGTTCATTTCTTTCTTTCATTTCATTCTTTATTTATTTTACTTTCATTAATTCGCATCTTTCTTTCTTTCTATCAACCATTTATTCATCCTTTCTTTCTTTTTTCACCTGTTTCATTTTTCATTTCCTTTTTATTTTTCCCTATTTCTTTATTCCACCAGTTTCTTTCTTTCTTTCTTTCTTTTCCTTTCTTTCTTTCTTTCAACCTTTTACATTATTCCTTTCTTTCACTATATTTTTCTTATTTTGCCTCTTTCTTTCTTTCTTTTTCTTTCTTTCTTTTCCTTTCTTTCTTTCTTTCAACCTTTTACATTATTCCTTTCTTTCACTATATTTTTCTTATTTTGCCTCTTTCTTTCTTTCTTTTTCTTTCTTTCTTTTACTTTCTTTCTTTCTTTCTTTTTTTTCCTTTTTTCTTTCTTTTCAACCTTTTTTTTCATTATTCCTTTCTTTTTCACTATATTTTTCTTATTTTGTCTCTTTTGTTTTCTTTTCTTTCTTTTTTTTCTTTCTTTCTTTTCCTTTCTTTCTTTCTTTCACTATATTTTTTCTTATTTTGCCTCTTTTTTCTTTCTTTTACATTATTCCTTTCTTTCACTATATTTTTTCTTATTTTTCCTTTTCTTTCTTTCTTTCTTTTCTTTTTTTTCTTTCTTTTCCTTTTCCTTTCTTTCTTTCAACCTTTTTACATTATTCCTTTCTTTCACTATATTTTTTTATTATTTTTCCTCTTTCTTTCTTTTTCTTTCTTTTCTTTCTTTCTTTCCTTTCTTTTACATTATTCCTTTCTTTCAACCTTTTCTTTCATTATTCCTTTCTTTCACTATATTTTTTCTTTATTTTGCCTCTTTCTTTCTTTTCTTTCTTTTTTGTCTTTTTTTCTTTTCTTTCTTTTCCTTTCTTTCTTTCTTTCAACCTTTTACATTATTCCTTTCTTTCACTATATTTTTCTTATTTTGTCTCTTTCTTTCTTTCTTTCTTTTTCTTTCTTTCTTTTCCTTTCTTTCTTTCTTTCAACCTTTTTATTTTCCTTTATTTTTCTTATTTTGTCTTTTCTTTCTTTCTTTTTTACTTTTCCTTTTCCTTTCTTTCACTATATTTTTTCTTTTGTTTTTTTTTTTCTTATTTTTCTCTTTCTTTCTTTCTTTTTTTTCTTTCTTTTCCTTTCTTTCTTTCTTTCAACCTTTTACATTATTCCTTTCTTTTCACTTTTTTTTCTTATTTTTCTTTCTTTCTTTTCTTTCTTTTTTTTTTTTTTTCTTTTCTTTCTTTTTTCTTTTCTTTCTTTCTTTTCAACCTTTTTTACATTATTCCTTTCTTTCACTATATTTTTCTTATTTTGTCTCTCTTTTTTCTTTCTTTTTTTTCCCTTTCTTTCTTTTTCTTTCTTTCTTTTTTTTCTTTTTTTTTCTTTTTCTTTCTTTCTTTTCTTTCTTTTCTTTCTTTTTTCTTTCTTTCTTTCAACCTTTTACATTATTCCTTTCTTTCACTATATTTTTCTTATTTTCCCTTTTCTTTCTTTCTTTCTTTCTTTTTTTCTTTTCTTTTTTTCTTTCTTTCTTTCTTTTTCCTTTCTTTCTTTCTTTCAACCTTTTTACATTATTCCTTTCTTTCACTATATTTTTCTTTTTTGCCTTTTTTTTTTTTTTCTCTCTTTTCTTTCTTTTTTTACATTTTCTTTTCTTTTTTCTTTTCTTTTTTTTCCTTTTCTTTCTTTCTTTCTTTCAACCTTTTACATTATTCCTTTCTTTTCACTATATTTTTTCTTATTTTGTCTCCCTTTCTTTCTTTTCTTTCTTTCTTTCTTTCTTTTCTTTCTTTCTTTTCCTTTCTTTCTTTTCTTTCAACCTTTTTCTTTTCCTTTCTTTCACCTTTTTTCTTATTTTTTTCTTTCACTTATTTTTATTTTGCCTCTTTCTTTTTTTTCTTTTTTTTCTTTCTTTTCTTTTCTTTCTTTTCCTTTCTTTCTTTTTTTCAACCTTTTACATTTTTCCTTTCTTTCACTTATTTTTCTTTTTTGCCTCTTTCTTTCTTTCTTTCTTTCTTTCTTTTTTCAACTTTCTTTTTTTTTTTGTTTTTCTTTCTTTCTTTTCAACCTTTTACATTATTCCTTTCTTTCACTATATTTTTTTCTTATTTTTTCCTCTTTTCTTTTTTTCTTTCTTTCTTTTCTTTTCTTTTTTCTTTTCCTTTCTTTCTTTCTTTCAACCTTTTTCATTATTCCTTTCTTTCTTTCACTATATTTTCTTTTCTTTCTTTCTTTTATTTTGTCTTTCTTTCTTTTACTTTTCTTTCTTTCTTTTTTTTTTTATTTTGTCTTTTTTACTTTTCTTTCTTTTCCCTTTCTTTTCTTTCTTTCTTTCTTTCTTTTTCTTTCTTTTTTTCTTTCTTTCTTTCTTTCTTATTCCTTTCTTTCACTATATTTTTTTACTTATTTTTTCTCTTTTCTTTTTTTCTTTTTTGCCTTTTTCTTTTCTTTTCCTTTTCTTTCTTTCTTTTTTTTCAACCTTTTACATTATTCCTTTCTTTCACTATATTTTTTCTTATTTTGCCTCTTTTTTCTTTCTTTCTTTTTCTTTCTTTCTTTTCCTTTCTTTCTTTCTTTCAACCTTTTACATTATTCCTTTCTTTCACTATATTTTTCTTATTTTGCCTCTTTCTTTCTTTTTTCTTTCTTTTTCTTTCTTTCTTTTCCTTTCTTTCTTTCTTTCAACCTTTTACATTATTCCTTTCTTTCACTATATTTTTCTTATTTTGTCTTTCTTTCTTTCTTTCTTTCTTTTTTTTCTTTCTTTCTTTCAACCTTTTTACATTATTCTTTCTTTTTTTCTTTCAACCTTTTTTTCCTTATTCCTTTCTTTTTTCACTATATTTTTTCTTATTTTTCCTTTTCTTTCTTTCTTTCTTTCTTTTTTCTTTCTTTTTCTTTCTTTTCTTTCTTTTTTGCTTTTTTCTTTCTTTCAACCTTTTACATTATTCCTTTCTTTCACTATATTTTTCTTTTTTTTTTTCCTCTTTTCTTTCTTTCTTTCTTTTCTTTCTTTCTTTTTATTTTCTTTTTTGCCTCTTTTTTCTTTCTTTTTTTTTTCTTTCTTTCTTTCAACCTTTTTTTTATTATTCCTTTCTTTCACTATATTTTTCTTATTTTGCCTCTTCTTTCTTTTTTTTCTTTTCTTTTTTTTCTTTCTTTTTTTTTTCTTTTTTTCTTTTTTGCCTCTTTCTTTCTTTCTTTCTTTTCTTTCTTTTCTTTCAACCTTTTACATTATTCCTTTCTTTCACTATATTTTTCTTATTTTCTTTTTTTTCTTTCTTTCTTTTTTTCTTTCTTTCTTTTCTCCTTTCTTTCTTTTCTTTCTTTTTCTTTTTTGCATTATTCCTTTCTTTCTATATTTTTTTCTTATTTTCCCTTTTTCTTTTTTTATTCTTTCTTTCTTTTCTTTCTTTTTTTTCTTTCTTTCTTTTTTTTTTCTTTCTTTCTTTCTTTCTTTCAACCTTTTTACATTATTCCTTTCTTTCACTATATTTTTTGTTTCTTTCTTTTTCTTTTTTCTTTCTTTCTTTTTTTTCTTTTTTTCTTTCTTTTTTTTTTTTTCTTTCTTTCTTTCTTTCAATTCCTTTCTTTCACATTATTTCTTTCTTTCACTATATTTTTCTTATTTTGCCTTTTTCTTTCTTTCTTTTCTTTCTTTTTTTCTTTCTTTTCTTTTTTTTCTTTCTTTCAACCTTTTACCTTATTCCTTTCTTTCACTATTTTTTTCTTATTTTGCCTCTTTTTTTTCTTTCTTTTCTTTCTTTTCTTTCTTTTTCTTTCTTTCTTTCCTTTCTTTCTTTCCCTATTCCATTTTTTTTTTTTTTCTTTCTTTCTTTTTTTCTTTCATTTATTATTCTTTCCATTCTTTTTTTCATTTTATTTCTTCTTTCTTTCTTTTCTTTCCTTCTTTAAGCCGTTTTTTTTTTTCTTTCTTTTTTTCTTTTTCTTTTTTACTTTATTCAGAGATTTTCTTATTTTTTTCATTCATTTATTTTTTTCTTTTCCTTTCTCTCGCTCTATTTTCTTCTTTGCTCTGTTTCAGTTTATTTTTTTTAACTCTTTCAACCTATTTAATCCGTTATTTTTCTTTCTTCTTTGTTTTCCCCCACTTTCTTTATTTCAGCTCTTTTCTTTTCATCTTTTTTTCTTCTTCCACCCCACTTTATTTTTTTCTTTCTTTCAATCAATTTTATTATTTTGCCTCTTTCTTTTCTTATGTTTTTCTTTCTTTTTTTCTTACTTTCTTTCACTCATTTCCATTATTTCTTCCATTCTTTCTTTCACCCTACTTCATTCATTATGTTTTCTTTCTGTCTTTCTTTCTGTTATGGTCCAGGTTAGGACCAAGGAAGAACAACACGAACACAAGATTAGAAATAATGAAGGTATATTACACGAAATAATAATACAATATGAGGAAGGTGTTAGTATGACTGTCAGTCTGGTTTGGAGTGAACTGCTATCGGTTCGACTCGATTCGTCCCTCTCTCTTGAGAGGCGTAGTATACATAGTGTTAGGAAGAGTTCATTCTGTAGTTATGGGTAAGGACCCATGACATTCTTCTTCTCCTTTTCTTTCTTCTTCTATTTCTTCTTCTATGTCTTCTTCTTCTTCTATTTCTTCTTCTCTTTTTCTTTTTCTTCTTCTTCTATTTTTCTTTATTTTCTTCTCTTTCTTTTTCTTCTTCTCTTTCTTCCTTCTTCTTCTTTTCCTTTTTCTATTTCTTGTTCCCTTCTCTTTCTTCTTCTTTGTTATGGTCCAGGTTAGGACCAAGGAAGAACACCACGAACACAAGAGTAGAAATAACGAAGGTATATTACACGAAATAATAATACAAGATGTGGAATGTGTTAGTATGACTGTCAGTCTGGTTTGGAGTGAACTACTATTGGCTCGACTCGATTCGGTATCTAGCCACACCTCCCACGAGGGTTGCATGTGGCACAAGGCCGAGTTTAACGTGGGTTTCCCGAGCCCGTAGGCTCGGCCAAAAAAAAAAAATGCCCGTAGAACGCGTATAAACGGGATCGGGTTGGTCAACCTCCCCGAACGAGACTCTGCCCTTCGGCGGAGCCTCGTCTGGGTTCCTCACTGCTCAGAGGCAGAGAGTTCGACCGTCAAGCCGAGAAGCTCGGCTCGATTCGTCCCTCTCTCTTGAGAGGTGGAGTATGCATAGTTTTAGGAAGAGTTTATTCTGTAGTTAAATGTAAGGACCCATGACTCTTTCTTTCTTTCTTTTTTTCTTTATGTATTTACTTATTTATTTCACCTGTTTCATTTATTTTTTTTCTTTTCGTTTTATCCCTATTTCTTTATTTCACCTCTTTTTCTTTACTTCTTCCTTTCTTTCTTTTTTTCTTTCTTTCAACCTATTACCTTATTCTTTTCTTTCACTATTTCTCATGTTTCCTCTGTTTCATTGTTCTTTCTTTCTTACTTTCTTTTCCCCTATTTTATTCTTTCAACCATCCTTTCGTTCTTTTTTCAACGGATTTTATCTCATTTTGTTTCTTTTTTTTTTCACTCTATTTCATTCATTTTTTTTTATTTCTTTTCTTTTCTCTCACCCGATTTCATTATTATTTTTCTTTCTTTCTCCACATCATTTTTTTAATCATTTCAACCTATTTGATTCTTTATATTTCTTTCTTTTTTGTTTTCACCATGTTTCTTTATTTCGCCTCATTTCTTTCCTTAATTCTTTCTTTCAAACTCTTTTATTATTTTGCTCTTTGTTTTCCTTTGTTTTTACTTACTTTCACCCTATTCCATTTTTCTTTCTTTATTTCCTTCAGAGTATTTTATTCACTCAATCACCGTTTCCTTCTTTCTTTTTCTTTCTTTATTTCTTTCACCTGTTTCTTTTTTTCTTTCTTTCTTTTTTTTTTTGTTCCCATTACTTTACCTCTTTTCCTTCACTTCTTTCACCCTATTCCATTATTCTTTTATTTCACTATATTTTCTTATTTCCCTCTTTTTTTCGATGTTCTTTCTTTCTTTCTTTCTTTCGTTCATTCGTTCTTTCCTCCTATTCCATTCTTTCTTTCATTCTTTCTTTCACCCTATTCCATTAATATTTTTGTTGTGTCGGAAACCTACCACCCCTCTTGAAGATGAACTTGTCTGCGTCTGTGAACAAAGACTTTAAATAGTGGCATGTCAGTTGACATGACGGAAGACAGATAGACAGAGAGGGTAAGACCTCCGAGTCTAACTGAGTCGTGATAGTCTTTGACTGTAAGCGACTTCTGTCAAACTCTCTGCATTAGCAGAGAGGAACCCGGACGAAGCTTTGCCGAAGGGTAAGGTTTCGCCTTGGGAGGTAGACAGGGCCTGAACCCGTCTAGGCGGGTTCAAAGGCTATATTTTTGGCCGAGCCTACAGGCTAGGGAATACCCACATTAAAACCGGCCTTGTGCCATATTCGGTTCTCGTGGGTGGATCGATAAATACCAATACCAAGACAGATAGACAGAGAGGGTAAGACCTCCGAGTCTAGCTGAGTCGTGATACAGTCTTTGACTGTAAGCGACGTCTGTCGAACTCTCTGCATTAGCAGAGAGGAACCCGGACGAAGCTTTGCCGAAGGGCAAGGTTTCGTCCGGGGAGGTAGACAGGCCCTGAATCCATCAAGGCTGGTTCAAAGGCTATATGTTTGGCTGAGCCTACGGGCTCGGAGATACCCACATTAACCCGGCCTTGTGCCACATTCAATCCTCGTGGGTGGATCGATAAATACCGAGCAAGTCCACCGAGTCTAGCTGTCGTGATACAGTCTTTGACTGTAAGCGACGTCTGTCAAACTCTCTGCATTAGCAGAGAGGAACCCGGACGAAGCTTTGCCGAAGGGCAAGGTTTCGCCTTGGGAGGTAGACAGGGCCTGAACCCGTCAATGCGGTTCTAAAAAGGCTATATTTTTGGCCGAGCCTACGGGCTCGGGAAACACACGTTAAATTTGGCCTTGTGCCACATTCAATCCTCGTGGGTGGATCGATAAATACCGAGCAAGACCTCCGAGTCTAGCTGTCGTGATACAGTCTTTGACTGTAATTGACGTTTGTCGAACTCTCTGCGTTAGCAGAGAGGAACCCGGACGAAGCTTTGCCGAAGGGGAAGGTTTCGTCCGTGGAGGTAGACTGGCCCTGAACCCGTCTAGGCGGGTTCAAAGGCTATATTTTTGGCCGAGCCTACGGGCTCGGAGATACCCACATTAAACCGGCCTTGTGCCATATTCAATCCTCGTGGGTGGATCGATAAATACTAAGACAGATAGAAAGAGAAGTTCTTAGCTGAGCTAGTTATTGACTACTCAGGCGATATCTGTACCTTTTTACCAACCTATTAAAACCTTTTTTATTGTTACGTGTTATTTGGCGTTTGTCTCTACTAATCCCAAATCAACATCATAACAATTTTCTTTCTTTCAACTTGTTTCGTTATTTTTTGTATGTTTCGCCTTACGACATTCTTTCTTTCTTTCTTTTCCTTTCCTTCACCCTAATTAATTATTTCTTTCTTTTTCTTTCCCTCTCTCCCTGTTTCATTCAATTTCATTCTTTTTTTTTCTTTCGCGATGATAACTGATGACTTCCAACAAAAGCTACATCTGAAATGTTTATATTTTCTACATCGAAGAGAAAATAATGACAAAATCAAAATGTTGACGTTCCACAGGACTTCAAACAAAAAGTTAGGAAGAAAACCTTCATCAATATTGGAAAGTGCGATTACATTTAATGCTCTTGCGAAACGTATTTTCTAGAAAAACTGCATTAATAAAAAGATTTTACAGATTCCAAACGACAGTAGAATTGGCTGCTCGGGCAACGTATCTTTTCACAAAAGGTTTCCGTTTGTTGAAAAGTTAATTCTAACTTGGAACAAAATCTGTTGCATAGAGTCGTCTTTCTTTGTTTTGTTTTTAATTCTTTTGTTTTTTTAGTTATTAGCCATTTGTTTTATATTATTGCATTTGCGGGTGTTGTTTTTTCAAATATTAATACTTATTACGTTTCTGTTTTTAGATGTCCTCTGCGCGACTATGTTAACAGCGTTTACATTGTAATTTCAGTTTTAGATTTAATATTAAACAATTTTTTTTTCCGTTAATATATCTCTAGATTTTGGATTCATTATCAAACCTTCTGTTTAAATTAGTAAAAAAAAAAAAAACATTATTCCAATCAATGCGTCAGCGTTAGCTTTGATCAGACTAGAGAAGTCTATCATTGTTTTTGCTAGAATTTGAGGTCTGTTGAGCTTATGAGTCATTTTCCAAGCCAATGCAGAAAGTTAGCTTGAGGCTGGAAAAATCCAAGGAAGGTAAGTAGAAAGCGCGTCACATAGAGGAAACACCGGGTGGGTGACGAAGGGTTCGGCGCATTTTATGACACCTGAAATGTCCGGGGTTTGATTGATTTCGAAAGTGGATGCAAGTCTGGTTTAGTTCGAAGCTGTGTTAATGACATAAAAGCAAAATAGAGAGAAAGGTAAACGGTTTGACTCTTGATTTGTTAGAACGAACATGAAACGTCAAAGAAAATCGATACAGGCCAAGTATAGAATGAAGAAGAAAAATAATAAATGTATTAAAATTATTATTTCGAAAAGAAATTCAGCTTTGTTTCCGACGAGGGATTCTAATATTTTTGCGGGGTTGGTCAAGTTTATGATACTAATATCAAATTTTAATTTATTGCTATCGTTCTATACGAATTAATAATTATTATAAACTAACTTAAAAGCCGCACTATCAAGTGGAATTCTGATAGCTCTTGCGGAAGGCTTTTGATTGGGCCTTCGTCACAATAGGTAGGGAGAACTAGATGAAACAGGCAAGAAGAACTTAAAATCGATCACTACATTTAAGTATCACATTAATATTTAAGCTTACCTTTTAAAAGTCCAACGA